CTAAAACCATAAACTTCTAGAAGAAAACAGAGGCAGTAATTTCTTTGACATCAGCCATAGAAACATTTTCTAGATGTTTTCTCAGGCAATCTACTGAATGGGGGAAGATATCTGAAAATGGTATATCCACTAAGGTGTTAATAATCTAAAATGTGTAAAGAACACCAAATTTTTTTATTGGATTTTTTAACACCAAAAAAAATCCAATCTGATTTAAAAATGGGCAGAGGACTCGAATAGACAATTTTCTAAAGAAGACATACAGATGGCAAATAGACACATGACAAGACGCTCAACATCACTAATCATCAGGAAAATGCAAATCAAAACTATAATGAATATAACACTATATATTAACTATACTGGAATTAAAATTAAAAACTTAGTAAAAAAACAAACAAACAAACAAACAAACCACAGTGGGATATCACTTTACAACAGTCAGAATGTCTACAATCAAAGTACCAAAAAGACAAGAAATTATCTTTTTGTGTGGGTGAAGATGTGCAGAAAAGGGAACCCTTGTATACTATTAATGGGAATATAAATTGGTACATCCACTGTGGATGGAGTTCTTGAAAAAATAAAAAATGGAAATAACATATGATTCAGTTATTCCACTACTGGGTATTTACCCAAGGGGGGAAAAAAAAAAAGAACACTAATTCAAAAAGATTATGCAGCTATGTTTATTGCAGCATTACTTACAATAGCCAAGATATGGAAACTACCTATGTGTCCATCAATAAATGAACAAAGAAGATGTGAGATAGATATAAATATATATCTATCTATCTCACATCTTCTTTATTTATATATATATTTATATATATAAATATGTATATTCCACTTATATGTGGAATCTAAAAAAAACAAACAAAAAACTGAACAGACTCTTAAATATGGAGAACAAACTGGTGGTTGCTAGAGAGGAGGTGGGTGGGAGGATGAGTAAAACAGATAAAGAGGATTAAGAGGTACAAACTTCCAGTTATAGAGGGACCAGAAGGGAGGAGGGCAGGGGAATAAGGTAGCTGGGTGTTGGGGATTAAGGAGGGCACATGATATGATGAGCACTGGGTGTTATACACAACTACAGTGAACACTGAACACTACATCAAAAACTGATGATGTACTACATTACATCAAAAACTGATGATGTACTACATGTTGGCTAACTGAACATAATAAAAATAAATAAATAAACAAACTAGGAAAAAAAAAAACCTTCCAGTTATAAAATAAGTCACAGAGATGAAAAGTACAGGTCGGGAATATAATCAGTAATATTGTAATGATGTTGTATGGTCAGAGAGTGACTACACTTATGGTGGTGAGCACCGAGTAAGGTCTAGAACTATCAAACCACTATGTTGCACATCAGCAACTAATATAATGTTGTATGTCAACTACATGTCAATAATAAATTTTTAAAAAATTAGGCAAGATCATTCTGGTGATGTCTTTCTCCACTAAGGCTCTGATATCTTGTGATGTTAGAGAAAGATTCTGCCTACCTAAAAAACTAAGTTAATTTTGTCAAAGTTAATAGATTTTTTTTTTTAAAGTCAAGCTTGGTTATTTGGAACTAAATAAGTAAAATAGAATAAAATAGACAAAATGCAAGACTGTGGCCAGAACTAATAGTTTTCTTGAAAGTTTAACATTCCCAATGAAAACTAAATATACCCAGCAGCTCTGGAGCTTGAATCATCCTGTTAATTCCATACCAATTATTTATTTCATAGCATTTTATAGCGGTGAAATGTGTTGACCACTAAATGTATGACCAAAAGTTAATTAAGTATGTTTTCAAGTTAACAGATGACACAAGAGCCAAAATAAACTGAAAAGGCAGAAAGTTTAATTTAGTTCTGGTCATTTGATTGAGTAACGTCTATGGGCAAGAAATTTGTTTTTTATGGATATTCATTTTTAAACTCCCGGTAAACAGAGAGACATCTAATTTACAAAATGTGAAGTCATCACATTTTAGCTTATACTGCCTTTTGAAGCAGCAGCCTGATTTATTCCATTACTGGCTCACTCAGGTCTGAGATAAAGAAAAAGGTGCGGTATGAAGAGTCTGTGAAATGACCCATATCCCATGTTTCATGCTGTACCAGACAAGAATGGAAACAAAACAAAGAAAGATTTAGAGAGAAGATGGGGAGTCTGACCAAACATTAAGTCCATGTTTAAGTAAAGGGAAGGAAGAAAAAGGAGTAAAAGAAAGTTTTTTTTTTTTTTAACTTTAAAAAATATTTTTAGGTAAAAAAAAAAAAAAATGAGAGAAGAGGCACAGGTTTGAAAATGGAAAAGGCAAAGGAAAATTCCACAATTGACAAATTTGGAGTGCTGATGGAATACTGAAGTAGCAATGTCTAGAATATGGTTGAAAATTTGAGAGAGAAACTTGGGCAGATTCTAGAGTGTAAGATATAATTAAGGGATGAATCCACATAACAGAGATAAGTTAAAGCCTATATATAGTTTTGAGAGTATAAACTAGGGCTTATAGAAGGAGAAAAAAAGAGAGCCATTGTCCCAGCCATTCCACTCCCAAGAAGTTACAGGCTCACCACTACAGGTCTAAAATGCCACATGCTATTATAGTGATATTTGTAATAGCAATAGATTGGAAACAAAGTGTTCATTAGTAGGGGAATGGTTACATCAACCAGGGTATATCAACAAAATGAAATATTAAGTAGCTACTGAAAAGCTGTATAGCATGTAAAGATCACCAGAATATAAGGTTAAGTAATAGACATATGGTGCAGAATGGCATATAAAACATGTCACCTTTTGTGTAAAAAATCTGGAAAAATAGAATATATATTTTATTTACTTGTATGCAAAAAAAGAGAAACACTAGAAACACACAAAACTAATAAAGGTAGTCCTTTTTGGTGGCAAGGGAAAATAATTAAAGTAGAAAGGAACCTTGTCAACATAAACTTGTAATATTGTTTTGATCTTTGAACCATGAGAAATGTATAAACTATTCAAAACAAAATTTTTCCTTTAACTTACTAAAACAGAGACATGGAAAGTGCAAGAATGCATTCTACTTGGATAAAAATAAAAAGATGAAAAAGAAAAGAACATGAAGATGAGATGAAGACCACACAAAGCTGAGAGAAGGAAAGGACCAAGAGAACGAAATGTCAACGAAGTAGGTAGAGAATGACAAGGGAGAAAAGGTGGTCAACTTCTTGAAATGCTGCCCAAAGGATGAAGATGGTGAGGCATAAACAGAGCATGCAAAAGGCACCCAATGACAAGCATTTGTTTCCCTGTGGGTGACAGTGCTGGTGCACTGCCCCAACTCATCTCAGTCTCTATGTCGTCTGAACTGTGTAATTACTGAAGACATAACAGTAAGGCTTCGTTAGAACTGTCACCAGATCTCCCCCTTTTAATTAAAAATACCCCATTTCAAAGCTATAAAATCAAAGAATAAACATGACAGATTAGAAAATTATCCTTGTAAATAGTAAGATCCAGCATTCATTTTAGCTTAAAAAAAATAAAATACAAGACGTGTGCTTGGTTAAAGAAAAAAAATGTTTCAGATGGATTTTTCCCCCTGAAAGAGGGCAGGTTTTTTAGGAATAAAAGAAATAAACATTTGGGTGGAGTATTGAGGTCTGAAAGTTGAAATAGTAATTTTAAGATGGAATTACCCTTGGAAAAGTGAATTATTATGTTGACATAGTGGTTTAAACAGAAGAGAAAAATTGCTGGAGATTTGAGGAAGCTCTAGATTTTTAAATGGGTAAATTAAGGAAAGTGGGTCAGCGAATCATACATGTTTTACTTTTATTTTTCTGAAAATTTCCAGGCAAATGCAGGTCTCCAAAATTAAGGTCATTATGATTCCTCAGTTGAATGATGCATGGGTTTTTTGTTGTTGTTGTTGTTGTTGTTTTTAGTTCTACTAATTTTTTTGAACTTTATTCTTTAAAACTTCAAGTTTTCTTGTGGCCAGTTTCCTTTTGGAACTGCAAATCTCCCCGAGTGTGTGCCCTCTCTTGAGCATGTTTGTAAGTGATGAAAGCATTCTTTAACTAGACAAGGTACCACATAAAGGATTTCTTAATTAAGTACAGTTTTCTGTGTAATTTTCCTTTTATATCAAAGTGGAATAGGATTATTCCAAACTCTACCTCCAAAGGTAGAGAGTTAAGAAACCAGGAAAGTATTTATATAATATTTATCTTTATATTATTAAGTTGTTTTCATTGTATTTTCAAACTCGAGTTAGACTATTCATTTGGATTCCCTGAGCACTATAATTTCTGAATTAAAAAAAAAAAAAATGACCTGGGGTGCCTGGGTGGCTCAGTTGGGTAAGCATCTGGCCTTGGCTCAGGTCATGATCCTGGGGTCCTACGATCAAGCCCCAAGTTGGGCTCTCTGCTCAGCGGGGAGCCTGCTTCTCCCCTTCCCTCTGCCCCTTCTTCCCCCCGCCCTGGTCATGTTCTTTCTCTCTCTCAAAAAATAAATAAAATCTTTTTAAAAATGACTTGTTAGCTAGGCCTGTTCCCCACATAGATCACTCAGTTCACACTATTTAGCAGGGCTGGGTAGGGCTTGAAAATTCCAGGTTTATCCTATAATAAGTCTGGCTTGTTGTTTCTGCCATTCTTTAAGTGTCTCCTTCTTCAAATATTGATCATTTATTCATTCAACAAGTAGATAGGTAGATGTGCTGTGGAAATATATGGACATTCTCTTGTAATGTCTCAGTGAAATTAGATGTACTGTTATCAGCTGAAGATGAGAGGGAACTTCTATAGATTTACAAAGAGAGATCTGAAGCAGACATCTAGACAGTAGAAAAATGAATAGTCTAAAGAAATATAGTAGCAGGAAGAGCCCATTGAGGTTAGTGACAAACACAGAGACCTTCTCCATTCCCTTTCCGGTCTCTACACATCACCTTCAAATGACCAGTGCCCTTGTATTTGTTCCAAGTGTCCCAGAGTTCTTCCCATGGAGGCCTCCATTCCTCTTTCCAAAGGATTTGTGTAATTCCTTTGTTCCAGGTTCTCCTACAGAGCATATTAACTGGTCAATAAGATAGTCCTCAGATATGAGTAGATCTTACTTTACCTGGTACCGATTACCTTTTCCAGAGTAACTAATACATGGCTTATATGACAGAAAAGAAAAACATTTAACTCAATGTTTGGAAGATTTGGGAATTATATAAGATGCTGAGTGGGAGATACAGTTCTTCGAAATAGGCTTTAATTTGCATTGTGGAAAGTCATGCTTAACTGTAGACCTTGAGAAGATACTAAAGCAGCATCTAGCAGGAGGGTTTCAGCTCCAGGGAATTAGTCATATTTTCCTTTATTCTTCTTATTAAGTATAGTTAAAACCCTAGACAATATATAAAAAATAAATATAAGACTCCTCAAGAAGAAAGCAGACAGAATAAACCATGGCTCCACCTTACCCATGCCAGCAAAGGCCAAGTTGGGAGCTCAGACTTTCATCTCTGCTGGGTAGTAAGAAACCCCTTTCTTCCAAAGTAATATCAGTAAAGACCACATGGCCTAGAATTCGACATCCACTTGAAGATAAGGAGAATTCTGACTACTCCTTATTTCCTCAATGGAGAGGTGTCAGAACCAAAACAGGAGAATGTTATGACTTTCATCCAGCAGTCATGACCCTCTTCCCACAACCCACTCTGTGTCAGTGGAGACCACTGAAGCAGTAAAGAGACACCCCAACCCTTCTCAGTCAGGAAGGTATCAGTGGAGGCCAGCCGGCACTAATAAGAAATACTGTTCACCTTGGGTGTCAAAGAAAGGTGAGTGGGGAACCTGGATTTCTATAGGAACCTGGCTATAATGAGGTGACATTCCTATCTGCCTGCTGGAACAGTGCCAGAGGAAGTCAGCTAAAAGAGAATATTTATCTAGTAAATAAATAAGAAATACTTAATTATTTAAATAAAATGAGACTCTCAGAATATAGTAACTAAAATGACAAAGATTCAATGAAAATCATTTATTATGTTAAGAATCAGAGACATCCAGCTGAATGAAAAGACAACTAATGGATGTCAACACAGAGCTGAGAGATTTTAGGATTATTTGGCAAGATTTAAAAGCAATCATCATAAAAATGTTTTAATGAGCGATTACCAACACACATGAAATAATGAAAAAATAAAGACAGTGAAGAAACAAAAATTTTTCAAAAGAATGGAAAATGAAGAACCAGAAGAAAACTTTAAAATGAAAAAAATATAATAACAAATCAAAAACTCAAACATGGACTCAACAACAAAATGGAAGGAACAGAAGAATGATTAGCTGAAAGATAATGTAATACAAATGACCCAGTGTGATCAAAGAGAAAGTAAACTGAAATTCTAAAATGAACAGAATCTAAGGGACCCGTAGGGCTATAAAAAAAAAAAAATCTAATATTCATGTCATCAGAGTTCCAGAAGAAGAGGAGAAAAAGAGTGGGGCTAAAAACTTCTCAAAAAAAGAATGGCTGTGGATTTTGTAAATTTGGCAAAGCTATACATCTACAGATTTAAAAAGACAGACAAACTACACATGGGATAAACCCAAGGGAATTCATACCAAAACACATGGTAATGAAACTTTAGAAAACTAAACACAAAGGAAAAATCTTGAAAGTATCAAGAGAGAAATGGAACCTTCTCTACATAGGAAAAAATACTCAAATGACAGGATTTATCATGAGAAACCATAGAGGTCAGAAGGAAATTGCACAACTAGAAAAGCTAAAACAATTAAAAAAAAAGAATATTGTAGAAGAAATTATTCTACCTCATTCACAGACTTATTATATAGCTACTATAGTAATCAAGACTTATGATATTGGCAAAGGATAGACATATAGACCAATGGACCACATGGATAACCAAGAAATAGACCTACACAAATATACCCAACTGATCTTTCAGGCTTATTTATTTTTTAAATTAGTAAACTATTTCCTAGAGCAGTTTTAGGTTTACAGAAAAATTGAGTGGAAACTGCAGAGTTCCCAATACCCCCATCTCCACACATGCATAACCTCCCCCAATATCAATAACCTTGAGAATGCCCTCAGTGTGCTAGAAAAGAATGTGTATTCTGTTGCCGTTGGATGGGATGTATATGCCAATTCATTACATTTGGTCTAAAGTATGGTTCAAATCCAAAACTGCCCTGTTGATTTTCTGTCCAGATGATCTATCTATCCATTGTTGAAAGTGGGGTACTGATACCCCTTACTATTATGGTATTGTCTATCTCTCCCTTCAGATTGGTTAGTGTTTGCTTATATGTTTAGATTCTCCAATGTTGAGTGCATATATATTTATGATTATTATAACTTCTTGATGAATTGACCCACTTATATAATGGGTATCTTTGTCTTCTCTTACCATTTTTGGCTTCAAATCCATTTTGTTTGACATAAACATGGCTATCTCTGTTATCTTTTGGTTTCCATTTGCATGGAATATTTTTTGTCATCTCTTCACTTGAAGCCTATGTGTATTTTGAACGCTAAAGTGAGTCTCTTTTAGGCAGCATATAGTTGGGTCTTGTTTTTTTTTTTTTTTTTTTTATCCACTCAGCTACTTCATGCCTTTTGATTGGAGAATCCAATCCATGAACACTTAGCCTTATTATTGATATGTAAAGATTTACTAATGCCATCTTACTGTTTTCTGTTTTGTAGTTACATTTTTCTTTTATTCCTTTCTTGCTGCCTTCCTTTGTTGTTGTTGTTTGTTTGTTTTATTTTGTTTTTTGTTTTTTAAGTAGACTCCATTCCCAGCATGGAGTCCAATGCAGGGCTTGAACTCAGGACCTTAAGATCAATACCTGAGCTGAGATCAAGAGTCAGACGCCTAACCCAGGTGCCCCATTGCTGCCTTCTTTTGTAAACTGATTATTTTCCATAGTGATATGCTTTAATTTCCTTCTCTTTATCTTTTGTCTTGTAGATTTTTGCTTTGTACAAAATTGTGTAGATTTTTTTAATTTGTGCTTTGACTTGTAAGGCTTATATAAAATATCATTTCTATATGGAATATAGATATATATATGTACACACACATATATATATGAATAAAGTAACAGTCTTTTTTATGCTGGTAACAATTTAACTTCAATGATATATAAAAACTTTGTTCTTTTATTCCCTCTTTTATGTTTTTGATGTCACCATTTGCATTTTTATATTGTGTATTCATTAACAAACAGTTGAAGCTATAGGTATTTTTAATACTTTTGTCCTTTAAACTTTATACTAGAATCAAGTAGTTATATCACCATATTGTAGTATTAATGAATTCAGCAATTACATTCTCATTTTTTGTTCCATGGTAATGCTAAAACTTCCTAAGTGGACTCCGGAGTTTTCCCAGAACTGTTTTTGCTCATGCAGAGAATGTTCTATTGAATGACTGATCTTTGTGGGAGGAAAAGGAAGCTGGGTTCTCCTACTTTCCATTTCCCCCGCAATCTGGAATTTCCTCTTATATCTTCAAGCTCAGATTCTTTTCTCAACCATGCCCAGTCTGCTAATGAGCCTATCAAAGGTGTTTTTCATTTCTGTTACAGTGCTTTTTCATCTACAGCATTTCCTTTTGATTCCTTCTTAGATTTCCCATCTCTGCTTATGTGATCCATCTGTTCTTACATGTTGTCTACGTTTTCCATTAAAACCCTTAGCATACTAATTATAGTTTTTTAAATTTCCTAGTCTGATAATTCCAACATTTCTTCCATTTCTTCCATTTCTGGTTCTGATCCTCGTTCAGTCTTTTTACACTATGTTTTTTGACATTTAGTATACACTTGCAATTTTTTATCGAAAGGTGGATATGATGCGTCGGAAGGAAATGCAGTGAATAAGCCTTCAGCAATGTAGGGGTGAGACATTGGGAGAAGTGTTCTATAATCCTATGATTTGGTATCCGTCTCCTGGTGAGCCTGTGCCCCTGGACTGTGAATCTCACTGGTGCTTTCCATTTTTTTCACTCCTTACATGACATAGGTACAGGATGGCTAATGGGGGTGGATTCACTATCTCTTTCCCCTCAGATAGAAAGCCAGACAAAGGTAGGGTGGGATTTTCCCCTGGTCGGGAAGATTCAGATAAAACCTTAGTACTATCTGGTTAAAATAGTTTCTCCTGAGGTCAGGTTTGTTGAAGAGAAGGGAATGCTCGGGTATATTTCAAAGTGGTTCCTTTCTTCCTTCCCCTTCTGGAAGCTTCAGAGGATTTTTTGCCAGTATTTTCTGTGAGAACCTAGAGCTCTTGGAGGTAAACCTCACAAATGTGTTTGTACCTTACTCCCTAGCCCCCATTACTGGATCTCCCTGGAGTGGTTAACTCTCAGAGTTGTCCACACTGAGCTTCCAGCAATTCGTGGATTACAGTTTAGGTGTTCCTACACTGGCATTGGTTCCTGTAGAAGTTTCTGCTCAGAAGTTTCTATTCTGGAAAGCTGTGACTCTCTGCACTCATCCACCCTGCATCCAATTTGGGGGTCAGCAGTTAGCCCTGCAACCTCACATATAAGACGGATCTAAGAAGAGTTGTAGATATTGAGTTTGTTCAGCTTTGTTAGTACAGAGCAGTAACTTCCAAGCTCTTTAACATGCTGCACCAGAAACTGGAAGTCCCAGCTGACTTTTTCAAAGGTACAAAGCAATTCAGTGGATGCAAGAGAACATTTTGACAAATGGTTCTGGGGCAATTAGACAATCATATTCAAAAAATGAGCCTTACTACGCAGATATAGTAAAAACAGTATGGTAGTGGCACAAAAATAGATACATAGATCAATGGAACAGAATAGAGTCCAGAAATAAACTGACACTTGTATGGTTAGTTAATCTTTGACAAAGGAGGTAAGAATATACTATGGGAAAAAGACCGTCTCTTCAATAAATGGTGCTGGAAAAACTGGGCAGCTATATGCAAAAGAATGAAACTAGACTACTTTCTTACACCACACACAAAAAGAAACTCAAAATGGATTAAGGACCAAAATGTGAGA